CCCACGGCAGCGCAGCCGGCCGGGCTGGGAAGCCTCAGCGCGGCCAGTTTGAAGCCGGGACCGCGGCGGCGAAGCCCCGAGCAGGCGCGCAGCCTAAAAAGGAAAGGTTCGGCCACCGCAGCCAATCCCGCTGCCGGCGCTCGGCGGGCCTGGGAAAAAAACCTGGGATGCTCGCAGGAACGCCAAGCATCCCACGGCCCCGGCCGGGATGAACGCAGGACAAGGGGGGGGGCAACCCCTGGTTTGCCGTGGGATCGCAAACCTCCGCGGGCACAGGCTGGCCCTCGCCACCTCCGTATAAGGGTAACGTTCGCGCTTTAAACTTCTCGGGCTGCCGCTGAGGACAGATAAACTGGCGCTGAGAGCTCGAGCAGGGATTTGGGTCTGTTCCCATGCCTGAAGCGGAGATAAGCATCGCTCCCTGCCTGCAGGAAACCCCCCCAAAACACACAACCCACATTGTTGTGGAAAATAAATCATTCCTGCAAATCATGGTTTCTTTATGGTTTCACTCCTACCAAATTCAATCCCTTGTTTCGAGTGATTTTAAGGTCTAAGTCACATCTGGTGCAGCTGGACAGACAGGGCGGGTTAGTGGGACACAGGCAGCCGTACCAGGATATCAGCATTCATCCCAACACACAAACTGATGACTCAGTGACTTTTAAGTGAAAAAATTTGATTAAAAAGCTGCCAGCTCAGAGAGCAGGGCCGGATGCGAGGCAGCAGCTGGTCGCTGACAGGAGAAACGCTGCTCTTGCGTACAGCCCCGCTGCAAAATATCTGAAAAATTCTCCATGAAGGTTTATCGGTCACTAGGACAACTTGTGAAGGAAGCAGTGATTTACCACCAGCTCCTTCCTCTCCCTGGCTGGGGTCAGTTTAGAGCCCGAGACCTTCAGGGATGGCAAGCTGAAATAAATTTGTCATATTCAGCCCCAGGTTGAAGGAATGGCTGCCGGGCTTTCACACCTCACATCCCCGCGATGCTCTGGGGGAGCCATGAGAGGGTAGAGCTGACTGTTCCCTTCTGCGTAGAGGTAGAGGCTGCAAAACCCACCCCTGAGCATGGCTGAAATAAAGTAGGTCTGAAAGTTGGTTCCCAACAGATGACCTGAAGTCCCCTCACTTCCCTTCCGCGGCCAGGAGTAGCCTGTTTCCAAAACAGATGGCAAAAATGATCGGGGCAGCAGTTTGTCACGCAGGAGTCAAGGAGGTGGCTGGTGCAAATAAACACAACCCCGAAATAAATCCATTCCCTCCCCGCTCCCAGCCATGGCAGACCCCTTCAACCCACCAAGTCAGCTCAAAGAAAACAAGTGGCAAAAGAAACCCAGGCAAGATAACACAATCCATCTGTGTTAAACTGTACACCAAAGAAGTTTGTATGTAGAAGGACATGACATATACAACATGTATGTATGCATGCCAGGTGGGAAAGCAACTCCAGCCTTCCTCCCCGCAGAGCCATGTGCCGATGATCAGAGCATCCTGCCAGAGGATGTGGAGATGCTGGGGATCACGCTCAGCCCTTTGAGGCCAGATGCCGTCCACCTTTCAATACTGCTCCTTCCCTTTCAACGCCGGCAGACGCGAGGGCGGAGGCTCAGCACGGATAGCGCAGGGAACGAGAACCACTGCTTGGCATGCGACGAGAGTCAATCGGAGAAGGTCCCCAGCTGGTGTACCGCATACCGGCGACGTCACAGAGTGCTTGCTTTTGGCAAGGGCAGACTTCATGCTGCTTTGAGGAGCGTGGAGGCAATCGGGGGCAGTGATCTTTGAGGATCGAAGCGGCACAAGCTGCTGGAGTCCCGTCTCAGCGAGGCGATGGCCTGGCAGCGTCCTCACATGACAGCACTGCAGGCAAGAGACCAAGAGCCTCCTCCACGGTAACACCAGCCACAAACCAAACCCGAGCCCTCGCCGGGCAGCCCAAGGGCTGGTGCAAATCCTCCATCCAGGAAAAGGAATAAGGTAACCAGACACCCCTCACCACTGCTGGAATGAAGCAGCTTGTGCAAAGCAGTGCCGCATTCAGCACCTTCTCCCCCAAAATGCTGAAATAGGGGTTCCCAAAGGAGGCTGGGCCCCTTCTTACCTCACCGGGCAAAGACCTGAGTGGCAGCAAGCAGGATTCGCTCCAGCTCAGCAGAGATAAGCTCTTGCATGGGGTGAGAGGGGTTAGGAAAGTTTAAGATTAAATTATAGCAAAGGTTCATCTACTCTAGCCAGCTGCACTGAGACCAGAGCAACCCAGAGAGAGAGGCAAAACAAAGCATGGGTTAGTTTGGGCAAGTCCCAGTTTGGAAAGCACTTGAAGAGGTTTCCACAGCATGTGGTTGCAGCAGATCACGGGGACCCTCCCAGCAGGATGCTGTTCAAGCCACAGATTAGAGTATTAAACAATTGCTTCAGTGTTCGCTTCTGTCTTTGAGTTTCCCGTTAGCTTTTCCCCACACCTTGAACCTCAGCACCACTTTTCCAGCCAGATGCACTGAGGTTTCACATGCTCCCTCTGAGGTCAGGGTACCGATTTCACCGCGATTACTGGGGGAGGAAGGGGAAGGATCACTACACAGTAGAAATCATCTGCTACAGGAGGAAAAACAAACATTTCCCTAGGCCTAGAAGGAAGGTAGATGGTTTTCTGTAAACGGTTAATGCGAGAGGCCTATCGGAGATCCATCAGGACCACGTCTCTCTCAACTACTGACACATGATTGCAGGTCTGGAAGAGAAAGAGCAGACAGGGTGTTATTCAGATGTTCCCACAGCTCAGGTGAGTCTGTACCTCCTGACACAACCTGCATCCAGCATCCTTCACAGAACAACCCTCTCAGACCAGGAACTAGTGCCCTGCCCGGTGCCACACAGGGACCAGGCCGGGACACAAATAGAAACCTCCCTAATACAAGCCTTTGCTGCTGTCTTGACCTGTTTCGGCAGAGAAGTGCTCTGCACCGCACCTCCAACACGTGCTAACAGATCAGAAAGCTTTTGCAGCTCAGCTCTAGGAAGAGACAAGCCCCTGCCAGGCTGACCCTCCCGTCCTGGCTCACAGCCTAGCGCCTCGACACAGATACCAATATAAGTGCAGTGTCCAATATGCCGACTCACAGTCCTACAGTCCCCGCTGCCTCGTGAGGCGACTTACAGTGAAGAGAGGGGGGTCTTTGGAGTGCGGGTGGAATCCTTTCTGCCGGCAGGAAGAGATCTCCTCCAGGCCATGCTCTGTCAGCTTGAAAAACCCCGTCCTAGAGCAAATAAACACAGGCTCTGGGTAGCTCAAGCCTCTGCAGACAGAAGCACTGCCTTCTGCGTCTCAAGGAGCATGCCTGAGTCTGCTCCTGCTCGAGATGAGTGGAGATGCATGCTGTGGGACGCACCTCTGCCTGGGACACTCCTCTCCCCAGCTCTACAGCTGCAGGCTGGTCTCCTTTCACAAGTGGGCAACCCTCCCCAAACCAGCCCAGAAGAGCTGTCGAATCACACATGCTCTTCCAGTCTCTTTTGGTAAAGCTTTCGTTGTGTGACATGACATTACTCCCACATCAGGAATCCAACAGGTCATGGTAAAGAGCCCTTCAATACCTTCTGGCGAGGCTAGACCTCCTGCCCAATCTTGGTTGGGCCACACAGGCAGAGGGAAAGGCCTTCCCCACCCCACCTCCACACTTACTCCTGGTATTTTGGAGAACACACAATAGCAATGGACTCTGGCAACATCATCTGGTAGGAGCAGTGCGTGTGCAGGTCGACGCTGGAGAGGAAGGCTGTCTGCGTGGGGTGAGTCTGAAACATAGGGCAGCACAGAAGAGAGGAGGTTACAGCAGGGCTGGAGAACTAGTCCAAAGGGATCACGGCTGCCAAGAGAAGATTGTAACAGAGAAGACACGTGTGGCTCCTTGGATGGCACAGAGGACATGCTCGCACACTGAAAATGGCTTTGGATGGCCCCAAAACATCTGCTCCTCTTTTCCATTTGGAATAAGTACAGGAGGAGTTCTACATTTCCAGCCATATCCCACAGAAAGTCACACTTTAAGGCACAACGCTGTCCTTGCTTTCGTGCACGCCTCCCTACAGGGCACTTCACACGTTTCTGAAGTGCAGCTACCCCTGGGGCACAGCACTACCAGGCACGTAACATACTGCCAAGGCACTTCAAGATATCACATTGCACCAACATGGCCAAGGGTTGTACACGATCACAGACAACCAGCACCTTACCCAACTCCAGCTGACAGCTAGATTTCACAGCCTAACTCTTGCTGAAAGGTCTTTCTCTTTTTTCCCCTTATGCTGATTAGGTTTTTGTTGCCAAGACCAGCAGAAAGGTCAAAAGGATTCTCAAGGGTCCCTGGATGTTGCAGGGCTGTCAGCGAAGAGTTAACACCAAAAGCAGACATCCCGCACATTATCAGGCACACGCAGCAGGCATTTATTTGTCAAAGCCTGCGAGGCAGCTGCTGCTTTCGAGAGATTACTCAGCAGCACCAAACATTTTGCTTGGCACCGATCCGACTGCCAAAGGCTCCGCGGGGACAGGCAGCAGGGCAGCGCTGAAGCCAGCGGAGGAATCTGGAACTGGCACATCCCACAGCAGAGCAGCACACAGCTGCCTGCGAAAAGCAGCGCTACTACAGGGACGCATCACGGGAGAAGGCCTGCGCAAACAGCAGGAGCTCGGGATGCCCTGACAGTGCCTCTGGAGTCAGTTTTTGGCTGGATGAGCCACAAGCTTCACGCCTAATATCCCACTTTCAGAGGGCCTGATGCTTTAGGAAGGGACCCAAACTTAAAACAGGCCTGGCTTTCCCCAGCAGCGCGAGCAGTGACCGAGATTGCACCAGAGGGAAAAATCCAACCAGAGGATGCTGCCTGCTCCATGCCATCTCCTCCAGTAAATTTTCCTCCACCAGCCCTGCTCCACACACCCCTTTCCCTCCCGGCTGAATGTAAGGCCAGTTGGGAAGTGAAACGGTAACAAGACACTCACATGGATCCAGCCTAGCGTAACAAGGCCATGCTGATCCTGGATCATGAAGAGCTCCTCCTCATTCTCCGTGTTGCAATAATCGGGGCCTCCGTACTGCTTGGGAACAATGACGTGGGTTATCGTGAACTCGTTCCTCATCTGCAAGGCAGCACAGGGAGGCTGTTATCGACCGGACACCCCCCAGCAGGAAGCACTATTGCCACCCACTGGTGCAAAGGTAATTTCCTAAGCTTTGGGAACGCAGCACTTCTGCGTTCATCACTCAGGGGCCCAGCCAGGGGAACAGCAGCTCTGGGAACAAGCCCATGGATGCATCTACCATCCATTTACAGGTCACAGAAACGGTAACTGCAAGTTACTGACAAAGGAGTCACAGGATTTTCTGAGTCTGAGCATGACCCATGGCTTTCTATTTAACTTTCCCTGCTGTGCAAGAACAGCCACAAGAGCTCAGAGAAGTCCTGGACACCCACCGAAGCAAATCTCTCCACTCACTAGGAGATGATGCCTCATAATTACATAATCACCAAGTGTCTGGAAGCAGCTGGATTGCAGACAGTTGCTACATCAGATAACTTCATTTCAAAGCAAACTTCTGCAAGCAAAGCAGCTCCAAGTGACTCAGGGGAGATAGGCTAGAGCTGCCAATAGAAACCTGTGCACGCAAACTCTTTGAGGGAGAACTGACTGTCTCCAGTCGGCGTTGCACAGTCTCGTCTGGGTGAGAGTCCTAGTTCCCTGCTGGGGCACCTTAGTCCCGCTGGTACCAACAGGATGTGTCACCGGAGCTGCCTGTCACCGGCAACGCGGGAATGCTTGAGGCAGGTACCCAGCAGAGAGTCATCAACAGGAGAGAGGAAGCTGGACACCCATGGGGACTCGGTGGCTGGCACCTCAGTGTGAGGAAATCCTAACGTAAACGTGAGGAAAAGGAGAGGCAGATCACCCCTAACGCTCACATGAAAGCCTAGTCATCAATGAAACTGCACTACAGCCTTCCGTGGCAAAAATCAGGGTCCTCTAGCCATTTTCAAACCTACTGCACCTTGACAAAAAAGACCCTGCACCACTTCCAGGATCTCAGTCAGGATTATCACCTTACCAGCTTACCGCAGAGGATCCCACACGTCTCCACACCCCGGACCGTGTTGGCATCAGCCAGCTGGAGGAATTTCTGGCAGAGCTCCCTAGGGACAATGACCTGGCGAAGGACATCCATACTTGCATCTGTGGGGAGAATGGGAGCGCAATGACAGTCAGGGACGCTGGAGAAATGGTCCCTCAGGTCAAGTACCTGAAGGGACTAGACTGAAAAAATTCAGCCTGGAAACATTAACTACTCTAATGTCTGCCCTTACGATGGCAGTCACAGATAAATGAAGTCACTGTGACACTTCATAAAGGACAGTCAGTACCTCTTTCAAAGCAGGGAAA